TCCAATTAGGACTAATCATGTTAAAATTCAATTGATTATCCGAAAGATCTTGGTATTTCAATTGTGATAGATTTGCAAAATGAAATTCAGAGAGACTACCATGCAAATTATTGGAACAAAGATCTAAATGAACTAAGTTAGTCAGTTGTCCAAGACTATGTGGAATAGGTCCATCAAACAGATTATTTCCAAAATTAAGGTGTGCTAAATTTTGCATATCTCCAACCCATTCTGGTATGCTTCCGCTCAGTTGGTTATTAGAGATATCCATTATTGTCAATTTATATTCTTTGCATTTTAAAGCAGTTACACCATCACTTAATTTTGTAAAATTATTATAGCTAAGGTACAAAAAATTTAGATTACATAATAAATTTGAAGAGGCAAATGAGATAATTCCAGTAAAAAAGTTTGATTCGAGGTATAATGTCTTTAATCTTTTGCATTGTCCTAACCAGTTTGGCAAACTTCCATTGAGGTGGTTTTCGTCAAGACCAAATGTTTCAATAGTTGATGAAAAATTGGAATATGGAAGTAAATTCGGAAGTGTTTGTAAGTTGCATGATTGCAAATACAAATTGGAGAGGGCTGGAAGCACACTAATCTCATGTAACCAATTAGTAGCGAATGTTAGATTCACAACCGACATATCAAGGAATTGTAAAGAGAAGAGGTGGGGCATCCATAAGAGGTTATAAGCAACTAGAAAATTTTCACTAAGATCAAGGTATCTAAGTTTTGTCAAGTTTCCAATATGAGGTGGAATTTCCCCGACGAGCCCGGAAGTGGAGAGATCAAGGTAGATCAATTTAGTGAGGAAACCAATAGAATCTGGGATCCTCGCTTGAATGAAGAAAATGGTTCCCAAGCACAAATATTGCAAGTGTCGTAAGCGAAACAAAGATGGATGTAATGACGCAGCATAAACAAAGTCATTCTCAAGGCCATAAAAAGCAGAAAAATCAAGTCTGATGACATGTTTGGTTTTATTACTACAACTCACTCCCTTCCACGTGCAACAATCCTCGTCTATATTCCAAGCCGAGAGAAAGAGGTGAGGATCAGATAGACTTTGCTTAAAATCAAGAAGGGCATCTCTTTCCTCAGCACTGCAACGTTGGCTCACCTTGCGAATAGCTAAGCCACCTTCGCTTTCTGCTCTCAAGCAATAAAAAGATAGAGTAAAGATTAGCAGTAGAGTAAACTCAAATCTTTCCATGATAGTTCGCATAGTTCTGGCTCCCTTGCTCTATCCCTATTTATAGCACATTGGTTGGAAGATTTTTTTCAAAATTCTCCCCTATACTTTTAGTATAATCTTTTTCTACATAATTATCTAGTAAGAAGTTTATTTAGTTTAATTTGTAAGACTTCTCGACAAAGCTGTGGACTTTGACGTTAAATGCTGCAAGAATTGTCAACTAATCTTTCAATATAAATATCTGTATGATTAATGGCAGAGCATTACTCTTTCCTATAAGTAGTTATGTTATGTTAAAGTTCAGCCAGACGTTAAATGTTGATTTTTGTTTTCTTTTTGGGGTCATTTACATACATTCCACCCAATTTCTATCTATTTACATCTCTAACACATATATTTTGCTTTTTAACATTTAAACCATCCAAAAGTTTCATATTACATAAAAAAATATCATCATTTTAACTTTTAAATGGTGAAATACAGCTTTTCATGCATGGGTAAGATGGCATCTGTGTAAGAATTGAAGTTCAGGTGTTAAGATATGCAAATACTTTGAAATTGAGTGGAATGTATGTAAATCTTCCTTTTTTTTAATTTAGTTGTACATTATTTATAGTTCAACCCACCGAACATCGCTTGAGGTGGATCTTGAGCATTAAAATCATTAATGAGATAAATAATTGTTATGATATTTCAGTAAAAAATTGCAAGAGAACATAATGCTTGATTAGATGAATTTTTAATTTTAATTTCAATTCAATCAAAATAAGTCTTTATACACAATAATTTAAAAAAAGGGCATTTACATATATACCGCACAATTCTCATGTGCTTGCATATCTAACACCTAAATTTTAATATTTAACATCACATTAAAAATATCATTCTTACTGAGATTTTAAAACTGATCAAATGCATATTTTTTTGTATAAATATATAGCACCAGAAATGCTTTAAATGTAAATATCAAATTGAAAGTGTTAGATATATAAATTCATAAGAATTGTGTGGTGCATATGTAAATTTCCCTTGAAATTATTGATTCATGTATAAATGAGACATGACCCATAATTTATGGCATTGAGCGACTTACTGCATTAATTGAGTCCCAATCCATCATTCGGCTTCACTAATACAATACGCAAGCTAAATATATATCTAAATAAATTATAAATGAAAGCAACAATAATAATGTCTTACGTACGTCATAATTTTTTTTGAAAATGTCACAATTGCAAATAAAAAGGTTGAAAAAGGAAAATAAAAATTATGGCCAGGTGATAAAACCTGCTATATAAGCAAAATAATAAAATTATACTCTTTTTCTGTTAATATATGAAAATGAAATTACAAAATTGAAGATGAAATTACAAAATAAATATATAACACAAGCTCAGTATCTCACGTAACCAAATAAGAAAATGTTGGGGAATAATAATATAATAATAATTAACGCCCAATCTTTCATAATAGTATTTATAACGTTTTTGGTTTCATAAATTTATACAACAAAAATGTTTAGTTAACATTTAATAAGATAGTAAGAGTGCTATTTTTTATTTGATGTTAAGCATTTGAGCGGTATACATGAAAATTTTATTATTTAAATGCTATTTTTGCAAATACTTTGTTAAGTGTGTGGTCTGCATTAATATTTGTATCCTACCAGACTTAGATTTGAAGTATTTATATAATCATAGCCTTTAGTTTATCACCTTTACACGTCTTATGAAGTGATATTCTGCATAGTCGGGGATTTCCATAGTAACTTGATGCATTAAAGGTATTAAGTTGGCTCGCCACCCAGAATTCTACCAGACATTTGATTGCAGGATAAAGTTAACTCAATTTACTGGCCTTCACAATGCTCTCTGAAATATCTCCTTAGAGATGGTTCCTCGAGAGAACCAAAGTTTCTAAGCTTTGCAAAATACCAATATTGTTTGGTATTTGTCCCGTGAATTGGTTTCTTGATATATTCAAGCTTATCAATCCAAGAAGGATCATTAATACAATAGGAACTTCACTAGAGAGATTATTACTGGAAAAATCTATAATGTTCACACGAGAGAGTATGCCTTTGACTTCATGAACTACTCATTTTATACCGATCATTAATGAAACATATAAATCTACACCGTGAATGTTGATAAAATTTGCGGAAATCGAAAGATCGAGCCCTTGAATTAGAAGTATAGGATTTTTGACATCCATTTTTGATGCAACATATATGGGACAACCTTGGCGAGTGACACGACACTATAGTTGGGTCTTACACTATCATAGCCGGGCTCCGAGTTGACTTTTGCCTAGTCGGCATTGCTTATGGTATCCTCAAGATTGATGTTCGTTCCCATGACACAAGATTGTATCCTGCTGATATGAACATTCCCTTGGCACAGACTCTCAATTAGAGTACCCCGCTTCGTGTTCGGACCTCAAGTCCAAGGCCCCAATAGACGAATTTCCTGCTGACTACTTTGCTCGACTATATGTAGACGTTTCGGCGTAACCACCCGGTCAAACAGAAGCTACAACATAATTTCATCACAATATGGGGGTGACCACGCCCAAATCTTAGTAGGCGTCCAAGTTTGTCGGCCGACGTGACAGCGTCCTCAAGTATTATATTTTAGTAGAAAATTACAAGAAAACATGTTGCTTGATATGATTATTTCCTTTAGCTACTTTAATATATAATAAAAGAGTATAAATATGTTTTATGGCCCTAAAGTCCTAAATAATATAATCTTAATTTCAATTCAATTAAAATAAGCCTATCAGCAGTATGGAAAAAAAGAGGCATTTACATACTCTTATTTATTTACATATATAACACCTAAACTTTAATATTTAACATTATATTAAAGATAAGATTCTTACTAACTTCTTAAAAATGATAGGATGCATGTTTGTATGCATAAATATATAGCACCAAAGTGATTTAAACGTAAATATAATGTTGCAAGTGTTAGATATATAAATTCATAAAAGTTGTGGGATACATATGTAAATTTCTCTTGCAATTATTGATTTGATATATTATGTGTAAATTAGACATGAGCCATAATCATCATAGTTGACTGAACTTACCGCATTGACCGACTTACTGCATTAATTTTGAGTCCCAATCGATTATTAGGCTTCACTCATACAATACACAAGCTAAATATATAGTTAATTAAATTATAAATGAAAGCAACAATAATAAAGTTTGAACGTGCGTCACAATTTTTGTTGAAAATGTCGTAAGTCCAAATACTAGATAGAAGCACATAAAAATACCAAAAATTTAAATGAAAAGATTAAAAATGCGAAACAATAATTATGGCCAATCGATATAATTTACTTTATAAGCAAAATAATAAAATTATACTCTTTTTCTGTTAATATAAGAAGATGTGATTACAAAATATATATAAAACACGAGCTCAACTAAAGAAGAAAATATTGGAGAACTAGTGAATGTTGATGATGATGGTTAAGAGATAACAGACGATCAATAGACATCAATATGATCGATAAATAATGACAGTGAGGTGACGGTTGTCTCGTGGAGATAGCCAAGCAATGATAGTTGAAGAACATTGATTGGATGGATGCTAGTGGTTGGATGGTGACATTCTAATGATGACGATCACAAAATGATGTTCAAATAATGATAATCAGAGGACTGTTGATGAGAGATAATGATTATTGTAAGTACTAATCATCAACATCTAATATTCGATAGAGCTCTAGAGTTCTTCAATATTATAGCTCTCTCAAATAGTATCATGATCGAAAATTATTCTGAAGGAGTACAGACTTTAAATTTTAGTATTTTTGCTCGCTTCACACCCGTCATATATGTGTATTAATTTTGGTCTAATATGTTATAATTTGTTATAAATTGCATTAGTCTAATATGTATTTTAACTTTTAATAAGATAATAACAGTGATATTTTTCTTGTGATATGTGATTTTAAAGATCTAAACGGTATACATGTAAATTTTTTATTTAAGTGCTATATATGCAAATACTTAGCAATTGTGTGGTCTGCATTAATATTTTTATCCCACCTGACTTAGATTTGAAGTATTTATTTAATCATAGCCTATGAAAACTAATTAGCTTACAAGTGTGCTTATAAAAATTAATTTTGCAGTAAAACTGAGATTAACAAATAATAAAAAGAAGAAGTTAATTTGGTGTCTTCTATTGATGGATTGCATATAATTTATTCAATAAGATAATTTGCATGATGAAGCAACCCAATGAATATTCAAATATACAGCGGATTAGAATAAAAATACTTTACTAAGAATCTTTTTACCAGCATTTTATAAATTTGCATGATAAATATGTTAATGTGTTGTTATCAAAATCTAATTACAACAGTTTATAACATACACTGGAATCACACAATACTTATGGAAGAACTAAAATACATAAATGATCATCTTCGCATTATGTTATTTATCATTTAAACCACCAATTCACTTTCACAATAATAGATGCATAAATACTATCTATCATGATATCAAACAACTGAAAGTAAGTGATATATTCTATCATGATATCATAAGGCTTAAGAAGACGTATTCCACAGAGCTTGAAATTTTCATGGTAACTTGATTCTTTAAAGGTCCCAGTTAGAATTCTACAAGACAATTAATTGTAGAATAAGTTGAGATAACTCAATTTATTGAGATTCACAATACTTTATGGAATAATCCCTGAAAAATAGTTCATCGAGAAATCCAAACCTTCTAAGCTTCGCATATCACAAATTTTGTTTGGTTAGACCCGAATCTAACCCTTGAACCTGATATGTCATTCCTATTGTGAAATAAATAAAATTAAAGAGAAATTAATATATAAAAAAACAACGAAAATTTAATATGAGTTGATCTAATTAATGATATATCTTCTTGACACAACCCCAAAATTTATTATGATAATGATGGTAGAGTTATATGACTCTAAATCTTTTTTGGATATATACTTTATTGAGTGTGCTTTTTCAGTAATGAAAAAAATTTATGGAAATGTTGTTGATGATCAATCCTTCAACC